TTGTGGTATACCACAAAGCTACAGCCATGATATATAATGTAATATACATTAAATGAATTGTAATACTTTACAAAGGAATTTAACCTACTGATGTTTCCTGTGCCCAGTCATGTCTTACTCTAGGCGATGCTCATCTCTGTTTCTTAGCCAAGGAAGCCAGTGTTGTCCGAAGACATTTTCATAGACATGTAGCCAGAATGACTGTACGTTAAGGTACATAGAAAGTTGTTACCTTCCCACTGAAGTGGTACCTATTTATCTACTCATATTTGGATGCTTTCATACTGTTAGGCGGGCAGGAGCTGGGGCAAGTAACAGGAGTGCACCCCATCGAGCAGTGCTTGGGTCTCGAACCTGGCCTGTCAGCTTTCTCCATTACCACAAAGCCTAATGTATTTTGTGGTAATCTGTGCCTCAACATATCCAAAGAACTTGTTCATTTTGCATTTCTAGGACTAGTGCAGAAGATACTACTGCTGCTGCTGTTACAGTAGTAGTATCTAGTTATTTTCTAGATTTACCCTTATTCTGAAATACTTTATTTCACTACTTTCATTTATGAGGCTGCCTTTAATAAGCAAAATATCCAATTGATATAGTTGATTATGGCATCACAGGTATCTCTATACTTCTTTGGAGAATCCAGGTTTAATATTCCTTTCACAAACAGTGCACAGAAAGAGATGGAAGATTATCCCAGCTTTCCACAACATGGTAACCTATAAATACGTTTGGAATGTAACCTTAAGAATTCTTCTTAAGCAGGGCCAACATTTTTGATTGAAACTCTGGGAGAGTCTTTCCTAATGTAATTGAAGGACACCAAACTGGAAAAAGCTAGATTATATTTTGTGCTTATCATCATCACTGCTTCTACATCAAAATGTATCACATGCAAATACTATTAATTAATGATGTTTTCTTTTGTGTATGCTAAATACATAACTGTCTGAGCATTAGTTGCATTGGTAAAAATCAGGTGGGTGGAAATCTTTATGCCAAGGATCAAAAACATGGCAATTGCGAGTCTTCTAGTTCAGCACTGGTAAGACCTATTATTTTTTCAATTAAGTGTTTTAAAATGCCTAAAGTTTCAATCAAGTATGCTAATATCTCATGAGACTTCAGTCTTCTTGCCCGAGATCTTGAAAGATAAGACCAAAATCTTTCAAGCTTTCACAATCTTGGAAGATCTGAGCATTTTTATGTGAATGTTTATACGTATCCTTGGGCTACTGCACTAGATCTTTTGATGGTGCCCAGCACATGAAAAAGTACCAATTTCTATTTTATATATCCCCAGATGAAATGAAAACAACAGTAGCAGATTATCATAATCATTTATTCAAGAGAGATATGTGCATGAAATGAACGCTGAGTAAATCATGTCCACAAAAGGGGGAAAGAAAATGTTTCTATCTTTCATCTTCATATGTTCTGTCAATTGTTTAACATGTGTCTATTATTATTTCTTCTTTACCTTCTTCACTTGTGCTTTTGATATAGCACTCAAGGCAGACTGAGAATGCTGGCCTGTGTAGTCAGACAGAACTAATTTCCCCGACTGGGTTGGGTATTTGGTTTTCATAAGCCCTCTAAATACTGGCTGATTGAGCAAGTGCTTAAGCTGTTTCTTCATCCCCTTCAGCATCCTGTGCTTCTCGCTCTCTTCTCGCTCAGTAAACTGGCCCCCTATAATTAAAAAGAAAAAACAGAATAACACATAAGGCCAAGTTCATTACTGAAGTCATAATTTGAATGATTAAAAATATCCCAGCCCTCAAGTAGAAACACACAATGTTCTTTCTAGTTACATATATATAACCCATATAAATTGGCAAGGCTGTAACTCAGGACTCAGGTGTATAATGATCTAATTTGACATCCCAGTTTCAATGTTCTCCATTCCTATTTAAAACAATCAGTAGGCTGTATCTGATGTTACATCTAAGTATTTTCCTCACTTAACTATAAGATGCCCAAATACAATGGCAGGGCACACATTTTTCATGTAGAGGCCCTCTGGTTCAATCAAGCTTCTCTTTCACAAAGATCTCTGACAATGCAGCTGGATAACAACAGTGTCTCAGACCTGGTGCCAACCACAGAAGATAATGTTGGGTGTGATGGCAGATGAACTTGTACAAGTCAATAAACTGTATTAATATTCATGTGTGCTTTGCACCTATTCATTTGGGAAGGATCCAGAGCGAAGTCTGCCTATCTATCTTAAAAGGCAGAGCATAATGTTTGAGAGATCGGGGTGGGGCGGGGGGTGGGGGGAGAGGAGACACCTCTCAGCTTCCAAGAGAGTTGCAGGAAACTTCCAACTTTCCAGAAGATTGATGGTAATATCAGTATCAGTAGAATGACAGGCCTCTGTAACACCCAAAGTGTCTCCATTTCCAGCCACAAAATCTCATAAAGTGGTTTAAAGAGCCACAGTCGTGCTGTGGTTAGAATGCAGTACTGCAGGCTACTTCTGCTGACTGCTGGCTGCCAGGTGTTTGGCAATTCAATTCTCATCGGTTCAAGGTTGACTCAGCCTTCCATCCTTCTGAGGTCAGTAAAATGAAGGCCCAGATTGTTGGGGGCAATATGCTGACTCTGTAAAATGCTAGAGAGGGCTGTAAAGCACTGGGAAGCAGTATATAAATTTAAGCGCTATTGCTAAATAACATGGTACTGCAATTTGCTAGCAAGATAGATTTTGGTAACATAATTTCCATCCATTTCTTTTCAATAGGCTAAACATATCCAGGTCTCTCAACTATTTGTCATACAATTTAGCCTCCAGACCCTT